TCTGTTCTGGGCGGCGTGTGTCGAAACTGTTGCTGCCCCCACTCTGCAGAGAGATCGACCAACCAGTAACAGTGCACATCATTGAGGCCCCGCCCCACACTCCTCCAGTCAAATTATCCCCAGTTTCCCTCCCATATACACGGCTCATAGCATTCTCTCTCGAACGCAGTCAAAGGCCGGCTTTCGGTACCTTGCAGGGCCATAAGACACCGGTCTACAGTCGTGGCTAAATGGTTGGTAATAAGTAGTTTCTGGTTCAGTATCCAACTGAGCAATCTTGGACTTGTTGGCAGTGCTGTGATGACTGCACTAAAACGCTCGTACATTCCTAAGCCGCATCACGTCTTATCTATCTAAGGCGTGACAGCCCTTTTGTTGGATCTTGGCCGCTTTTTCAGTTTCTTAATCCTATACAGAGACTGTAGGACTCCTTGGACGGGGGATCAGCGTGCCGTAAGGCCTCTACCTACACACAGAACACCACAAACACAGAATGAAACCATGATCGCAATGTTCGAGCGAGTGAAGACGGTTGATGCCTTAGACCGCGCGGCCACTCTGATCGGAATTCTGGGTACTGCTAAATCAAAATCTATACTTCGCAATTCCGCAATTCTACCGCTATGGCCTACACAGACCAGTTCAGTAAAGCAGTGTCGAGAGCTCTGATCTGAACCCTGTGGTCACTTGACAGGTAGCCTATATGCAGGCAACACGACGGCAGAACATCTGTATGGCTACTTGAACTGAGCATGAGATATGTTTGAGATCCACGTTTCCTTCACTACGGCGATAATTGGAGATGAGTCGTCAGCGTCTCCACCCGCGGGCCCCACTGGATAGGAGGATGGGTAGGCACCAGTCTTGACGACGTGGAGAAGAGAAAATTCTTAAAACTACTGGGACTCGAACCCCGACCCCTCGTTCGTCCAGCCCGTAGCCAGTGGCTGTACCGACTGCGCTATTACTTCTGGAAGTACAATTGCTTTATTAATGCAATATGTACAATCAGATGTTTGCTATTTCCGACGTTTACGTAAGTAGAGACGCAACGTCCGTAAGTTGTGACCGAACGGCAACAGCGTTACTTCACCCTTTCTCATAGCAAACCTGTAAACGTTACTGTCCATCCAGAAGGAGCGGCATTCTCTGTACTCAGATGTCCTGTAACGAATAGGAATTCTGTATTTATGATTTCTGTGGTCTCAAGAAATGACGAAATCACGTGACACTAGAACTCATCTCACTGTGTTCTACCACAACGCAGCCGCTGCTCCAGTACCAAGCACGGACGGTGCTTAACTACAACGCAGCAATGTTCCCGGGCTCGAATCTTGCATGGCCTGTAACTCGCGGTTACTGGGGACTGCACGCTTCACTTCTCAAGAGGTCGAAACACTCCTCTAAATTGTACACCTCAACAAGTGGCATAAACCACAAGGTCTGTGGAGCATCCAGTAGCTATAGGGAAGCATGCGAGAAGCATAAATCGTGGTAAGGCACCCTGCAGTCCTACTGGTTGCTTTTCTGCCAGTGCTGTAACATGACACTGTGCAGTGAATGCGAGGGCACTAACAGAAGGGATATATGTACAAGGAACGTTAAAGGTAAAGGTAAAGCTATCCCTGAAACAGATCGTGGAGGCCCATAGTGTAGTGAGACGTAGAGGCTCCCACAATTGCTAGACAGTTGACTCACAGATGGGGGTGATGTTGCCAGCCTTATATGCCGGCCGCCCTTTACCGCCCGGAAGACTCCCGATACTCATTTCTGTTAGAGGTTGAGTCGGATTCAGGGTTGTGGTGCGGCTGGAAGGATTAGATCAATTGAAAAATCCAATGATGATATCGGGAATCGAACCTGCGACCTTCTGGCTTGTTGCATGGTTAAAGGAATTAGAAGTGAACTACAGACACTTCCAATCCAGGCGAAAGAACGGATACACAAAACTGGATAGAAAATTTGGAGACTACGATTTACGGTGTACCGGCTGAGAGGAGAGAGAGACGTCAGAAGACCGAAGAAGGGATGGAGCTTAAATTCGGAATTTTTTTTATATTTCCTGATCACAGATGATACAGAACAGAGCCCAAAATATCTTCCCACAAAAAGGCTACTTCTGTGGCATCGGCGAAGTATATGGGCGTGGAGGTAAACATTGAGTTCAAGCTCTGGCGTCCTTAGCCCGGTCATGCTCTCCATATTTGTGGTGAGCAAGTGCGTGAAAATAATTGGATTGAGTCTTCTGTCACATATCGATAACTTACCAACTAATTAAGTCTACGTTATAGGCATATGTGGAGCCGGGATAGCGACTGGCTACGGGCAGGACGATCGAGGGGTCGGAGTTCGAGCTCCGATAGAGTCATGAATTCTCTGTTCTCCACGTCATCCAGACCGACTCTGGGGCCCACCCAGCATCCTATCCAAAGGGTAACGGGGGCTCTTTCCCCAGGGGATAAAGCAGGAGGGGCGTGAAGCTGATCACTCACCCCCAACTAGTGCCGAGGTCAAGAAAACGCGGATCTATACATCCACTCTCCCATACGTCTTCATGGCCAATCTTTTAAAGATTTATGTAGGTCTGTATAAATGAATAACACGGAAGATTCGCCATGAATGGTGACTAAGGATATGGAGGAGACTGCATGACCCGTTTGGAGATTCTCAAGAGACGCACGAAGAGGCTGGCCGAGATTCGAACCAAGAAAATGTACCTTCCAAATGCAAACATGCGTCCTTACCGCCATAACCAACCTGCCCGGGGTACGAAATGAGTCACGTGTGATGCATGCGCAGTCTATAAGCCTATTGGTTTTACGTGCAATGATGCCAAAGCGACTGAACATCATTTTCAAAAACAGTTAACCAGTAACGTCACGAGGATAGGGAGTGCGCCCAGTGGCGAGCTTTTGTAATCACGGTAATGAACTGCCGCTTTCCACAAAGTTGGTGAATTTCTTGACTTACCAAGCGACTAGTAGCTTCTCAGGAAGGATACTTCATCCCATGTAGGTCTAATGAGTCAGTGATTAATCTGCAACTGGAAGCTAGCCAGAGCGTTAAGCGGCCTAGTCTAGGGGTAACGTTCCCACCTCATGACTCAAGGTACGCGGGTTCAAACCCGGCGGAGGTAGTGGAATTTTTAAGGGCGGAAAAAATCAGGGAACAAGTCCTCCGGGAGGGACTTTAAGCCGTGGGTCCAGTGTCGTAGATTTACGGCACGTAAAAGTTCCTCATATCTTAGGAGACAACTTTCCCGCCCAAGTAGCTTCCAATGCCTCTGGTAAATGGGGGAAATATCAGGTACCGAAGGCCGACCTCGTTGGCTGAACGGGGCTGATAGCACGCACCAGTACCAGTAGGGTATGGCGACAGTAGAAATTAAAGGGGGACGCACAATGGACCAATAACTGGTCTAAGTGCATGGGGAAACCCATCCCCTCTAACAATAATAATAAAAATAATAATAAATAGCCAGAGCGTTCTTCGTTCGGAAACCAGTGAACATTCTCTGCACTTGTTATACAAACATTGGTACTATGAAGTTCCCTTGCTATCTCCCGTATACATTTCCGGTCCTGCATGTTATCGAATTATACGTCGAGGCCGACGTTTAACGCCATCTCCCACGAAGAACACGTACAGCTATTCAATTCTAAGTAGTCCCCTTTATACAGTAAACAAACAGTTCATTTGTCCTCATCAAAATGTTATCAGTACCCATAGAAGAGACGCGATACACTGAAACAATAGCCTGCTCGCTTGCTTGTGACTTACTAACTATCTTAAGTCCATGAGATGCGTTAACCCTCAATAATTAATTGCTATGGTAAACCAGAAGTACATAATGACAATGACAGATCTCAGGCAGGACATTTCAAATGAATGTTCTATAAAACTGTTACCGAGTACTGACTTTGTTTACTGTGAAAGTGTTAGGTCTCAGTGTGACGTAGTCCTCTTGCCATTGTTTCACAACAATACGTCACATACACTGTCATGTTGACGTCTGTCTGTTCAGTATAGGTGCTCCACCTTCCCTCCTACCACCCTGCATGGGGCCACCAACCCTTCATCATCCCCTAAACTTTTTGTGTGCATTTCAGTATCTCGTAACCTGCCCAAGTTTCCCACAGTTGTGAAGCCGTGGAGGGGGTAGGAGCGTGTCGGTGAGTGGGGAGGTCGGCCGACAGACTGCGGCAGTACACGCGCGGACACGAGGACCGCAGGACCTGACCGGATGAGAGCGCGCGGCCGAGCGTTCGCCTGGACGACGTTCGCGATAATTGTTGATTATGAACAGGGAGCCGTCCGAATTCCGCACCCAACTTTATTTTTTTTAGGAATTCTTTACTAAATTTCTTTGTGTCTTTTGTACGTGTGCATTGTAAAAAAGAAATATCAGCTCTTATATTCGGATGACTTTATTAAAAGGTTTTCGTATTTAGAAATGAATTTTATATGAATTCAAAAATCAAATTCAGTACTTAGGAAATGTCTTGTGGGCGACATCAGTGAAGCTGTCTGACATGGCAACGCAGCACATTTAACACTGTGTAAGAGATTGTGGGCCCACGCAACTTAAAATTTGGGCCTTTAACTTTCGAATAATTCGAGAAAGATTATGAGACAGTCTGAAGAAAGTGGAGTCCGCATACCTAGAAACGGGATTTATACGTGAAATTGCTGTTCTCGTTAGAAAGCAAAATAAATTCTCTACGTAAAATGTTGATTTCACAATGTGCGAAAGCGTGAAGGAATTTTCTTCGAGTGCTCAGCAGCTGTGAATTTTGCTGTCTTTCACGTGTGTATATGAGTTTCAGACTCGGGTTCACTGTCCCTGAAATATATTCATCCGACTGAATATCTGTCTGTCATGAAAACAATTATTAGCGATCAGTTATACCTGTAAGTGTCGGTGTGCAACCAGCAGCATGTCGGTGACTGTCAGCTGACAGAAGCGACCACCTGACAGCAACCTCGTGTGAACACTTACATTTTCACTTGGGGAGAACCATCCGTTAACCTGTGGCGAGTTGTGGTGCCCCGGGGGGCAGCTCCCCCCGACAGCGTGGTGGATCCCCAACCTCCGCTACACTGGGGCTACAGTGGTGGGGCCAACACCTGGCCGACACCAACGGGGGCCCCCAGCAGAGGCCCCATGAAGCGGCATCACAGCGAGAGTGACGATTGTGACGACGTTTTCTCCGAGGAGTCCTCTAAAGAACAGTAAGTCAAGGCGTCAGTTGGCGGGGCATGCAGCACGCACGACATACGTGCGGAATTCTCGCAGATCTGTAGTCAGAAAACAGGAAGGGAACGTAGTATCTGGCAGAACTAAAAATAGATGGGAAGGGTATTAAAGTAGAATTTAAAGCAGTGCAGTATAATGTAGGGGGTGTGAGTGGATTCCACTTTGGCACTAACTTCGCCGACAAGCGGCGGTTGCTCGGTCGGTATAGTCCGCTTGCGGACTAAAACCAAGGGTTTTTTTGTGAGTGGATTCATCTGGCTAAGAATGAGAGCCAGTGGGATCTCTTATGAAGACAGTATGGAACCTCCAGGACCTGTAAAAGTTGGGGAATTATTTAATATGGGGGGGGGCTATTTGCTTCTCAAGAATTACTGTTTAATGATTTGACAAACGAGTTAGATAATTAGTTAGTTAGTTGGAAATTAGTTGCCGGTATGTAGTAAATTGGGGCACGCGGTAGCGCAGTTGGTCGAGGCACTATGCTTAAACCCAGAATGTCGCGGGTTCAATTGCCGATGAGGTCATGGATTTTTCCAATTGACCCAATCCTTCCAACCGCACTGTCGCCCTGGAGTCGACTAAGCCTCTAACAGAAATGAGTACCGGGAATCTTCCTGGGGGTAAACGGCGGCCGGCGCATAAGGCTGACAACTTTACCGCCACCTCTGAGTCGATTGTCTAGAAAATGTGGGACCCTCGACGTCTCAAAACCCTGTGGACCTCCATGGCCTGTTACAGAGATAGTTTTACCTGTGCCGGTCACAGTGGCCGCGGATGAACAGTCTTCGCTCACTCGAAAGCTGGGATGTGGGTTCGAATCCCATTCAAATCATGGATGTCTGTATGTGCGTTTATTCTGTTTTTGTGTTGTCGTGCGTGTAGGTAGCGGCCTTGCGACGGGCTGATCCCCCACTCAATGAGGATTACCGGCTTGTATAGGATTAATAAACTGAAAAAGTAGGCAAGGTCCAACAAAGGGCTCAGTAGCTCAAAGAATACAGTATTGAATGCTAGCGAGACTGAAGAATTAGAAAAAAATCGGAAGGAACTTGCGGTTTAACCAAGGTTCTACCCCGGAAATTTCATGGAGGGACTGAGTAATATAACGAACACCCTGAGTCAGGAGAGCCGGTGCTGATGTTTCTTCGTCTGTGGAACAGAAGAACATAAGAAGCCGTGATAATGTGATTTCTTACAGACTGTTAATGTCAGTTACAAGTTATTAATTAAAGACGTGACTTATCAATGTTTTCAATAAAATATAAATTTTATTGCGAAGTAAACTGGCGCGCGGTCACTGCTCAAGCAGTGTAGGTCCACCTGCTGTTCTTACCGATAGTTGGCAGCAGTATCCAATCTTGCCTGTGGCTGTTCCTGAGAGGCTCAACCGCCACAGCGAAGATGATCTTTTCCTCACGTGCCGCAGCTTTACTGAACCCTTGCGTAACTCTTTTTTTTTCCTTGGCACCACAGCCCCAGTGGGCCTAGGCCTAACTCCATGAACTTCTCCGTTCACTTCTATTTTTCTAGATCTTACAGATTCGGTAGGACTCCTTGGGCGGGTGATCAGCTCGTCGCAAGGCCTCTACCTATACACAAACACAGAAAAACGCACACAAACATCCATGCCCTGAGTGGGATTCGAACCCACGATCCCGGCTTCCGAGCGAGCGAAGACAGTGCATGCCTTAGACCGCTCGGCTACCATGACCGGCTTACGTAACTCTTACCTCCTACACATGTTTTTAATTAACTTAATAAAAAGAGCAACAGGTCAAAATATCATAACCCTTTAAAGCACGATTAAAAGAGAGAGACAGAAAATGTTGGGATGACGTAGCGGGGCAATTCATCTTGAGGAGGGACAAAAAAAAATTCCTTCAGCATGACTGGGTTTTCAGACTCGTCCATCGTCTCTCATTCTGGATGCTAGACAACACAACGTTTTGGAAACTGGATCTGTTTCCGTCCTCAGGTGGTTGGGGACACACCTACTTTCTTGGGGCCCTTAGAAAGAGTTAACCTCAATCGCTGGCCGATTTTGTTCTGTGAGGACATGTTTGGAAAGACTGGGGATGAATTTCTCCGAAGCCGAATCTGGGGTAGGCAAGAATCTATTTTGTTGATTATTGAGAATTGAGAGAACTTGATGAATATGAATCGCTTTTTGCTTATTATTGATTTTTTCTAAATTAACTTTCGGGATGGGTAAAAATATGTCATTGGTCAGAATTATTCACAGATGACTTGAGAAAAGGTTGAAGCTTCTAAGACGGTGCCTGTTCGTCCTTCAAGTAGAGCTAAGTTTGAGGAAGGGTAAAGCGTTAGGAAGTGAAGCATGCAAATGTTTACGATTCGGTCTTTGTTATTGCTAGAAAAACGTGATTAACCACCTACACACTTATTTATTAGCTTAAAGGTGAAAATATCTTGACTCCTTGAAGTGCTGTAGAGAGAGATACTGTATCTTGAGGGAGGGGGAGCCAGAAAATTTTCCGGCCTTGAAGGTTTCCAGGCGATGGCCTCTCGTTCTTCTAGGAAAAGTTCGTTGGAGGAAGGGTAAAACTTCGGGAAGTAATACAGCCATATTAGGAGTAAATCTGAAACACGAGAGAGAGAGAGAGAAGTGAAGGACAGAACATTTTAGAGTTAAAGGAAAAGTTTTGATTGTGCTTAATTTGTTAACCACTATTCTACGAAGACATAAGGGGGACTGGAGGTATAGCATCACCATTTTCTTGACCTCAGCACTAAATGGAGGTGAGTAGTCAGCTTCACGCACCGGCCGCTTTACCACCCGGCGAAACAGCCCCTGATACACATTGGATAGGAGGCTGGGTGGAATAAAGTGTTAACAATTTGAAGGTTTTCAGGCAGTCTCCACCCGGTCTTCTGATACAAGTGCATCTGAGAGACAACAAAGCACTAGGAGGTGTTACATTAGACAGAGTTCCTTATAAATGCGGGTAATGTTTAAAAATTGAGTTCATATCTGAACAGAAACGTGCTGTGTTCATCCTAAAGACAAACCTATCAATGTATTGTCACGATTTTATGGAGTGATTATAGACGGGGTTTGGATTGGTAACTGGAGTTGTTGCACACTTATACACAAATCATAACTACAAGTAACTATAGCACTATCTCAAATTCACACTCTGTAATTCATATATCACTCACTAAGTCTCATCACTCTGCTGTATCTTCACAGCTTGTCCTGCTTACAACACCTCGACATGGAATGCACAGAAAGCGCCTCTCCCAGCAGTTCTATTGTTGCACAACGTAGTTATCGTACGGACCGCGTAGAGAACACCGCTTCCCAGTCACTATATTGTTGCCTGTTACGAAACTGTTTGGGATATTACCTAGCAACTGCTGTTGTATAGCTGTTTATTTCTCTGTTGTTGCCTAGCAACGGGTCTACGTGCCACTGTATTTATGGAAACAATAGCTGTTATTGTGAGGATCATGTGGAACATACAAACACAGAGTATGCGCAAAATAGCAACCGGTGTGCGTTAAATTGTTAACTGAAACAAAGTCGGTGTATCGCAGGAAGCAGACACGTCACTAGTTGTACTGACTTTGGTCAACAGACTTTAATTTAGTTTATCAGATATAAACTGCACAAACCGCGCCTACCCGCGCCACTGACCGTGGCGTAATATGCAGGACGTACAAAGGATTCCAGTTTAATTGTGTATAGAATATAATTTGCCGTTCTGCATCCCTGGGAAGTAAAAAGGAGACTTGAAGATAATATTAATTAAAAATTCTGAGATGTTTGCACTCATCGAAGAAATAGCGAAGCGCTAACTCTCTAAAATGTCGGTCAGAACACCGTCTTCCTTCACTGCTTTTCTTGATTTTACTCAGTCCCTCCAGCCAAATTCTGGGATAATACCTCGATCAAGAAAGATGGATTTCTTCCAAATCCCTTCTAATTCATAACTTATCAATCATAATACCTCTTGACTCTGTACAGTCAGAGTTGCTGAAATAGACGTAAAATGAACCACGAAAAATAAAAAAGTAAAGCTATCCCTGCAACAGGCTGTGGAGGCCCATAGAGTTGTGAGATGTAGAGGCTCCCAAATTTCTAGACAACCGACTCACAGATGGTGGTGAGGTTGTCAGCCTTACGCGCCGGCCTCCCTTTACCCCAAAGAACACTCCTAGTACTATTTCTGTTTGAGGCTTAGTCGACTCCAGAGCCACAGTGCGCCTGGGATGATTAGATTAATTGAAAAATCCACTAGACTTAGCGGGAAACGAACCCGCGACCTTCCAGCTTGTAGTGTAGCCATCTACTATGATAACCAGGATAAGTCATGGTCAGTTAGTGATGTATAGCCTCACGCTATAGTTAGAAAACTATTAGACTATTTTTAAAACATTTCCAGTTTCCATGCACCAGTGGGAAAATCAAATATACTTATACAAGATTTTTCTGCCATAAGGTTACCTGCATAAAAACTGAAGAACTGGCAAAGAAGTTTTGAATAAACTATGCATCTTGGTTCAACATGTTCAGTATAAACATGGTATATCATGGCACCTGTGCCCGTCTCAGCGGCCTACCTCATAACTCTCTCCTATCAGTCTGTGTATGTATCCCCTTACCGTTGTTACGCAAAGGCTCATTTAAAAAGTTACCGTGGCAATGAATACACACATAAAAATAGAAGAATTATTTGACGCGTCATTTTCTATGCTGTCCGTGACGTATGAATGGAAAGTAGGCGATTAATTCTTCCCTGAACTTCTTGTCGATTTGTGGAATAAGGTGACATTGAACACATCTGATACCCTATCCGTGTGGTATATAAGTAGACAGCATTCGATGGAATGAAAATTGGCATGAGAAACCGAAGTACTCGGAAAAAAATCTACCCAATGTCACTTGTCCAGAACAAATCCCACATGGCTTGATCTCGGATTGAACTCGGGCCGCGGCGGTGGAAATCCGGCGACTACTCGCCTGAGCTAAAGTATGGCCACTCAATGTAGACTATAGGAAGGTAGCAGTTGATGGTTAGGTATTAATTATATCTGAGGTTCTCCGTATGAATAACAAATTTAATTTTCTCTGGAACTGTGTTTTCCCCACGTCGTCATTAACACCGAATTGTCCCTTGTCGACTATATAGGTGCTCGTCGCCCGGGGACGCCGACAGCTGTCAGATGCTGAGTCGCAAAAAACGACGTGGCATCATTGAGAAAAGACGCCGAGATCGCATCAACACGAGCCTCACAGAACTGCGACGCCTGGTGCCCACAGCGTTCGAGAAGCAGGGCTCGGCCAAGCTGGAGAAGGCAGAGATCCTGCAGATGACCGTGGATCACCTGAAGATGCTGCACGCCAAAGGTCGGTACATTTGTAGCTCCGCCCTTCGTGATGATGGCTGTCACTCTTCTCGTATTTAGTCGCCGGAAATCAGGAGTTGGCCACTTTCGGCCGCAATTGTCCAAGAATTTCTTCGAAGGCCTTCCTTTCTGTAAGGTAAACACGTAAAGTTCTCCCTGTAACAGGCCTTGAAGGCCCATAGGGTTCTGAGACGTCGAGGCTTCCACATTTTCTAGACAGTCGCCTCACACAGATGGTGCTGAGGTTGTTAGCCTTATGCGCCGGCCTCAATTTACCCCCAGGAAGATTTGTGGTACTCATTTCTGTTAGAGGCTGAGTCGACCACAGGATTAGGTCAATTGAAAAAGTCCAATAACTTCGTCAGGAATCGTACCCGCGACCTGGGCGACCGAGGGGTCGGAGTTTGAGTCCAGGAAGGGTCAAGAATTTTCTGCAAGTCATCCAGACCGACTCTGGGGTCCACCCAACCTCCTATCCAATGGGTGCTGAGGACTCTTTCCCCAGAAGTAAAACGGCCAAGACGTAAAGCTGACCACTCACCTCCAGCTAGTGCCAAGGTCAAGAAAATGTCGATCTATACATCCACTTCCCCACACACCTTCATAGAGTAGTGGTTAATTAATTAAATACACGAACAGTTTTACTTAGTTTTGCCGGTTTATTTAACGACAGTGTCAGTATATGGCCCTGGGGTTCACTCAGCCTCTAACAGAAATGAGTACCAGGAATTAATTAAATAATTTTCATGGGGAGAAAAGCGCGGCCGGAGCGTAAGGCTGACAACCTTACCGCCATCTTTGTGCCGATTGTCTAGATAATATGGGACCCTCAACGTCTCACAACCCTATGAGGATAAACGGCCTGGTACAGGGATAGCTTTACTTCTTTTACTTACTGGAAACGACACAGGTAGTCGTGGCTTAGTCAAGGTCTTCACCCCGCATTTTGCGTGCTGAAACTGAAGAAAAATCACGAAGAATCTTATTTCTACATGGCCGATGCCAAGTTTCAGTTTGGAACCGAGCACCTCCCGGGCCGAGAGCGGGGGCTGGACCCAACTCATTTGGTTCTGCCCATGAGACAAGCTCCATCACCGGTTACTTCGACGCCTTTCGAGGGGTCTGTAGATGCGGGGGATCGTGTGACTTAGTTGCAAGTCCAGCGGAACTGCTGCTGTTAGTTGAGGGACAGGTGTGGTTTGGGCGGCAGTGCGAGCTACAGTGACACATGGGCAGGCTCAGAAGTACGCAGAGCCAGGAGGAGACAGGACACTTAGGAAAAGAAAAGGATATAGTTGTCTCTGCGCTTAATAGTTAAGAATTATGCTATGGAAAAAACATGAGGGAGTGGAGGTGTAGGTCCACTTTCGGTGTCCCTGCTGATTTTCGAACAGAGAACAATCCCCCCCTCCCAAAAAAAAATCTGTAACATTAAATTCAGACCACTCTCTTTGATTGGGATAATGATGAATGAATGACTCATTGAATTAATGATGATAATGATGCCACACGCCGGTCACGGTAGCCGAGCGGTCTAAGGCATTCACTGTTTTCGCTCGCTCGGAAGCCGGGATCGTGGGTTCGAATCCCACTCAGGGCATGGATGTTTGTGTGCGTTTTTCTGTGTTTGTGTACAGGTAGAGGCCTTGCGACGAGCTGATCACTCGCCCAAGGTGTCCTACCGAATGTGTAAGATCTAGAAAAACCGAAGTGAACGGAAGTTCATGGAGGTAGGCCTAGGCCCACTGGGGCTGTAGTCATCATCATCATCAGTAATCTGTCAAGATGACAGGTCCACAGTCTCTTCCAAAACAATTCCTCCACTTAATGCGATCTAGAGCTTTCTCCTTCAAATGACAGTATCCTCTTCTGTCCCCAAGGTCATCCAGCATCTTCTTACGTCTTCTCCCTCGTCTTCTTGTCATTTCTATCCGCCCCTCTATCTTTCCTTCGATAACTTCTTTTAGAAGGCAGTTTCTGCGTAAAACATGACCAATCCAATTAGCCTTCCGTTTTCTTATTTCGTGTAGGAT